ATCTCTGGACCGCCTTCCACAAATCAAAGTCGGTGCCAGAAATCTACCTCCAACAAGTATGGGGACATATGCGCACCGAGTCCACAAAAGACCGCACTAAAATCCTCACAAAGCTCAACAACATGAGGATTGTCCTGACTCCAGCAACTCTACGCTCTACACTGGCGCTCCCCGAACATGACAGCTATGATCCTCTTCCTTCTATTCCGGATCTTCTCAAAGAGGTCGTGGCTCTGGGTTATGACTCTCTACTACCAAAACTGTCAAATTTCAATGGAGCATACCTTTATCGTCCCTGGAAGAGCCTATTCGGGCTAGTCAACAAGTGCCTCTCTCCAAAGCATGCCGGACTGGACAAATGCAACAAGCAAATACTCTGCGTCTTCCACGGCATCGCATATAACAAGAAGTATGACATGGCTCAGCTCTTCTCAGAGCTGATGGACCTTGTAAAAGCCAAAGAGAAAAACAGGTCAGGCACCATTCCATACGCCAGGTGGTTGGGGCTGATCATCCTTGACTGCATGACCGCAAACACATCCATTCCCAGACGTATTGATGAACCACACTTCATAGCTCCAAAGCTCCAATACTTCAAAGCTGATAAGAAAGCAGCTCAGGGACTGCGGATTCCGGATGCTCTGCTCAACCTGGCAAATCAGTCAAATCCAATCATCATCGCATACAAGGAAAACCTTGAGAGAACAGTCCCTATGGTTCAGAAAAACCCATCTGGACCTACCCAGGGGACTAAACCGAGAGTAAGTAAGGGTCCCAAGAGCGCCCCAAAGCCACAAAAGCCAGTGGCACGTCGGCCCGATGAAGGAGAGTCCGATGAATCTCTCGAGAGGACTCGGACAACTGAGGGCAAACCGACGAACGCTGAGGAATCTGCTGATGACTCGCTCAGCTCGGCCAACAAAGAGGCTGACGACGAGGCTTCCGATAGCGTGGCCAGAAGTGACAACGATGATGATGATGATGATGACGATGATGTTGACGATGTGGACCACACTTACGCTCTCATCAAAAAGGGTAAGCTGCCTATTGAATCTCCTCCGAAGAAAATCACCGCTGAGGATGCAGCTCCCATTATTGCTACACGCCCCAAAGAGCTCGTCATCAAAACCACGTCGGCCAGTCACAAAATAGCAAGTGCTACTGGCATCATCAGGGAGTAGCGCATCAAAGCGAAAAATGATGCTCCACAGTCACTCAACTCCAAGAAGCGACGCCTCGTCAAAAGACACCTTGTAGACGAGGACGAAATGCATATCTTCGCTGATTGTCAACCCTTCATTAATATAAGCCGAGCTGAATCTTTAAGTGCAGGAGCCGATCTTTTCGGTTCCCGGGTAGAAGTCGCAGCATCTGGCTCAACTGCGCAAGCACATCCTTCTCCCAGCCACTCGATAGCCTCCCAACAGGCTATTGTTTCAAAACAGCGGGACTCACCCACCTCTCTGGTTCCCTCCGAACCAGTCGAGCGAACTAGTGGCCAACAGCCCGAGGTCACCACCACTTCCTTGAGCACATCGAGTCTAGGTGTCACACTCCCTACATTTTCTAATTTTTCTAGGACACCTACACTATTCACCGCACATACAGGTGCACGCACCCTGGAAGCAACGACCAGAGTACCAACGATGACGGTCGGAAGCCCTGCTACGCCCACAATGACTCCATCATTGAATGCAGGCCACACATCAGCTCTCTTCACTGATGCTGTGACAACAGTTACAACCCCTGTAACTGAACACCTCACTACCGAAGACGTCACCGTTCTTATGCACCGTTTCTTGGATTCCACCATTAAGCCATGGGTGAACAAGCATTTACCGCTTGGGCACAAGAATCCAAGACCACTCCGGCAGTGCATAGTGAACACAGCCAGCCTGAACCACACCCATCACCTTCTCACACCAAATCTCAAACCTCTCCAGTCATATCCGCCACCTCCACCAAAGTCCATAGCCCTATCTCTTCTCGGGGAACCCATGATACAGAACAAGTATCATCCCCACACCCGACCACACCTCCCATCGAACTACTATCCCAACCCTTCGAAGTCCTGGCATCGATCTTGCTGGATCATCTCCTAAACATACCCCACACTGACCTCACTCCCTACCAGCAAGGCGTCCTTACTGCCCTTCTCGCTAATCCGGACACCAAGGGCACCTGCCGTGAAAGTCCCCGTGGTCGCAAACGTTCACATGAGGATCCCGATGATCCGGAACCTCATGAGGGGGAGAACAAGAGGCCACGGATACTCGAGCAAGGTGCCTCTACCACTCATAGCCCCCAAACCGAACAACCTGAGACTATCATCAACCAACCACCACCATCCCCTTGCCAAAACAAAGCCTATCTCTCTAGCGTGGTCGAGCTAGACAAAACATCCCGAGGCGTATCTCCCGGAGATACTGTTCGAGGAGGGGATGGAAGTCCTGATGATGCTACCACTGGTACATCCTTCACATCAGGCCATCAGTTGGAACCTAGTTCTAAGCTGATGTCAACGGGCAATCCAAGTGAACCCGGCAGAGCTACCAAGGAACAATCACCGCCTCAAAAGCAGCAAAGAGTGCCATACATCCCCCCAGGCAAAGACATCCATGATGCACTGGAGGAGGCGGTGATATACGACAAATGGCCGAGACAATGGACAGAATGGGATGATCTCCGGAATGAGGCTGAACAAGAGGACATGCAAAGAAACTGGTGGCTACGAGAGCTTATTAACAAATGCTCTGAAGATATCATTAGACTTGAGGACGATGAACGCAAGGAAGGGGAGAACTACAAGGAATCCCAGAAAGCTCTTGAATCGGTCGTAAGACAATCAGCGGGAAGACTTCCCAAGACAGAGAAACCCTGGGACAACGTTCGCATCAAAGCCCCCTTCCAAGAAGAAATCAGAAAGCATATCTGGCGTAGACCAGACAAAGTCAAGCCACTGAACGAACTGAAGCTAAGAGGCCTTACTCACTTGAAAGGAAAGCAGGCTGGAGGTCATCTGCATATGTTGCTTCAAAGGTCAACCGGTACACAGAGAGAACTGATGGAACAAGATCTGAAGTCGAATATTCTCCCGGTTCATCAAATTCTGCAAGTGAAGGCTGAAGACTACCATGGAGTAACATTCTACACTTACAGACTTCAACGCACCGATGGGAGCGAATTTACTTGTCAAGAGAAGGACTTCATCATGCTGAAACCGGATGACATCTACCAAATGCTCATGGCCTACAGATACCTTCCAGTCAGACAGAGCATAGTATACAGCGAAGGCCTCGCAGCTATCAAGAGATTCATGCTCAGACAAATCCGAGTACATTCTTCACATGACCTACAGATGGCTATTGAATGCAATCTGAAGAAGACAAATCTGACAAAGCCAAAATTGTATGGTCCAGAACTTGAAGATTTCCCAGCCTACCACATCTTCTTCACACCGCCAGCAGTCACCTATCTGAACCACAAGAACGAAAAGCGTCTGATGGTAGTCAGTGAAATCGAGAAGTACTGCGATGGAACACTGAAGATAATCAGAGACCAGATTCTACAGATGAAGGCAAAGCTGGAAGAAAATCTTCAAGAGGCATCGTCTTATGTTCAAAAGGAACACTCTACTGTAGAGAAAATTTTAAAGGCCATTGACGATCGCCTCGAAAAGAGAAATATGCTGAGGCAGTATGAACATGCACTTGGTTTGAGGAAGCACTACTTCAAATCACAGAAGCAATAAGAGAATGGCACTTGATCACAAAGGGGGAGATTGTTGGAGATATTTTATTGTGAATCAAGTTGGTCATAGATTAGCTTTATATTGTATTTAAATAGTGCATAAATTAGATAGAAATCAGGCCAAGTGTTAGGCCCATTTAAACAGGCCAAAAGCCTGGTACGCCTAACCTAAACCTCGCCTATAAAAAGGGAGCCGAGGTTTAGGAAAAGGTTGAACGTCGTACTTATTATTCATAGCCTTATGCTTATCATTCTGCTGTACGTTCCACGGTTTATCAAAGAAGGTTTTACGGTGATTCATTCTGTGTTCATCTTTACGTTTAATCTTCCTTGTTAGATCGATTATTCATTGCTGTTACAGAAACAGGGACTAACACATTTTGATATCCCTTCTTCCATATACTTAAACTCAACTTATAATAGTATTTTCTTTATATTTTTCTAGCATTATTTAGTCTCCAAATGAGGAGCTAAAGTTGTGAGTTATTATCTCCCCAACATTATTATTGCGTTTGAAGCTTGTTGAATGTTAAAGTTGTGAGTTATTTTATTACTTCTTCCATTGAATATTATTTCTTCCCTTATTCTATCTCTATATTAATGTTGGGGAGTGTTGCTAAATGACAATTAGTTAACATTTTGACATTAATTACTACTAGAAACGATCAATGAACTGATGGTTAATCATTGATGGTTTCACAAGTAAGTAAATGCGGGTTATAAATGCAAGGTCGTGGTTAATAATCTTAAGAGGGATTAATTGTGTTGGTTAAATTGAAACCGTTGAGTTTAGGTTATCAATCTCAATTGATTTCATCAAGGAGTTAAGAGATTAAATGCTACTATCAAGTCGGTATATGACGGTGTTCTATACTTCACTAATAATAAGAGTTATTAGTGAATGGTCGGTATTAATTGATTGGAGATACTCCTCGATTGAGTATTCGAGAGGGGATAAGTTATAGATATAACCGGGATCAACATACATATCAACAAGTGGAAAGTAGCAAATCCAGATCTTTTATTTCATTAGTTAAACTCATATAAGCCGTTGATCTTGGTATTAATTAATTAAAATCAAACAATCTTAAATCCCCCTTTTAATTACAAGTTCACAAAAGAAAAGTATTCTTTTCCATGTGGATACAAACTTTACTTCACTGTACTACGTATTAGTGATAGTATTGAATTTATTTTGAGCCACTAATTTAGTGCCGTCACAACACTGACCATGACCTAGAGAACGATCACGGACAGTTAGAAGATGTTGGAACTATTAAGGGTTGAGCTCCTCGAAAATAACTTCTCTCAGTTCACAGGCTTCATCACATGCTAGCAGTTCACGTCAAAGTATGACGCAATCGAGGGGGAAGCTCCCAGTTCATAGACTTTGTCGCAAGGAGAAGACCCCAGTTCGCAAACTGCTTTTCGGTGTGTGCAAGCTTCATCATTCTGACAGGATTCATCCGCTTCCAAAACCCTAGACTATGTTGAATCTGAAAATGAATCATCGGGAACTTCATCGCAGACAATGAGCACTGTGTTGAAGTCGACAAAACCAAAATCGCGGGATGTGGAAGACGAGTAAAATGGCTCCAGTAAAGTGGAACCAACCGATTTGAAGCTTCCTGTTTTTTCGATCTAGTCGAATGGTTCAGTCAATAGCTTCGATGTTAAGTATAATGATTCTGAAGTGAGTGTTATATTGCACCATCTAATTAAATAGGAGAGCGTACAATTTGTTTCAAATAGTTCTGATGATGCACCTGCTGAAGTTAAATTTCAAATTGACACTGAAACACATTATCCTGCTGATATTGGAGTGTATCAAATAGCCAAACTAACCAAATGGTCAAAGAGTCTATGCCTGTTGTCGATATGTCAGCGACTGAAAAGAGAACGAACCAATATCCTACGTACTCTCTATTAAGGCATTATCCCAGTCCAACCAAGGATATGCTTGAATCCTTTCTCCGCACAACTGTAGTTGTGGGTATTGATCTTGATCGTGCTTGTGGTGTTGATGCTTACTTCAATAATCTTATTTGGATTTTTGCAACAATAGGCATGGCACAATCAATTTATTTTTTTAGGGGAGATCTTAATCCCCTGAGATTGCTACTAAGGATGGATATCTTGCTTATTTTCATGTTGGAATGATTTGAGATATTTGAAGTCATTATCGTGTTAGACTAATAAGAGTGTTATTGCATTTTGTAAATCACGACTCAATGAGTTTGGTAAATGGTTTCCTCTCTCTCTCGCTCTCGGTCTCATTCCTGAAGGAGCTGACATACAACCAGTCACAAACACCCTCCAGACATCATTTGGTGATGGAAGTAGACAATCACATGAATTTCAGACTATAATGTATCAGTTATATGATGTTATGTACCATAGTACCAGTTTAACTTCTCTCTTCATCCCAACTATGCAGTGTTGACACATGCTCTAGGATCACTAAGCTAGAACGAATTGCGAAAGTATGGGATCCTGAATTCAATGTGGTGGAGAGTGATATCCATGTGTTATTAGGAGGTTTTTGTTAGACCAAAGTCCTGCTATAGGGAGAATATTGAGAGAACTTATATTCCTGTAATGATGGATCACTCAGGTGGAATTGCAGGAAAGACCGAATGTAGCCATATCAAAACAGAGAACTGTTGTAGATGGAGAAACACATCACTATAACTCAAATCCACTTGAACTTTCTTTCAAAGTGCAAGCGGATTAAGTTCTGTATGATTCTTTTAGTGAGAAGCCTCAACTAAGGGATAGGTTAAAGTCTGAGGGAAATGAAATAGAGGGTGCCTAAGGCTTTCGATCTATGGTACTAGTAGTACAGAAGCTCCTGGTACAACAATTCAATCAGTGAGATGTTAATCTGAAATGTTTACTATCATCCACCTTGAGGATAAAGTGTTTGTTGGAGGGGGGGGGGGGGGGGGGGTGATGGTATGGACATGTGCAGTAAAACTAATAAGAATAATAAAAGTATACTCTCTCTGTTCCGTTGAAAGATTCCCATTTTCCTTATTTGAGTGTCCCATTTAAAGGTTCTCATTTCATTTTTTAGGAAATAATTTACGATCTTTAATTAAACTTTTACTCAAGTTTCTTTTTCCTACCAATAACATGTAAGTGTCACAGTTTCCCCTCCTCCAACTTATCTCCCTTTAATTACTTTTACTTTATATGTTTACTTTTTCTAAATCTCTCTTTTCCCTTTAATCACTTGCCTAAAAAGTCGTGCCATTAACCTAGTGATGGAGTCACCTTATATCAAAAGTCACCTTATATCAAAAGTGTTCTCTTGAACACCCAATTTCTTGAAAGTAAAACTAATTAAAATACCCCAAACTTTGAAGGGGTGTGAGATGAACACCTCAAACTCGCATATGTATTTTAAATACCTCAAACTTTATATAAAAATTTATTGTGGCGCCATAATCAAGTATTATTTTTTTCAAAAATGTAAATTTATGGTGTTAATTGCATAATTTAAAAATACTTTAGAATTCATGAAGACACAATTAACATTATAAACTTCCTTTGCAAAATAAATAATGTTACACTCAATCTATATAATTGCTACACTTTTAATTTGCTGTTTTAAATTATGCAACTAACCCCATAAATTTACATTTTTGAAAGAAATTATACATGATAATGGTGCAAAAATAACTTTTTATATAAAGTTTGGGGTATTTAAATTACACACATAAGTTTGAGGTGTTTACTTCACACCCCATCAAAGTTTGTGGTATTTTAATTTAATTATTTTTCCCTTTCTTGAAAAGTGTTCTCTAACACATAAGTACGGAATTTTATCAATCCGGGACCTGAAAGATAGATGAACAATCAATTCAGGACCTGAAAGATGACATGTATCGGTATAGGACCCGAATGATGGAAAACTATCAATCTAGGACCCGAATGATTGAAAAATATCAATTTAGGATCTAAGTTTTCACAAATTTTAGGCAAAATTGACAGTAGTAATCCCAACTATTGACGGTCCGCTCATAATAATCCCAACTATCGATTATTTCAGAATAATCCCAACTGATGGGGTTATGGGACTAGGCCCAGAGCCTAATCGGCCCAGGCCCCGAACTTGGACCAGCGGGCCCAAGCCCAGCAACCTAGAGCTCGAGTCGGCCCAATCAGGGCAATCAAGGAGCGGAAGCCCAAGAGAACCTGTCGACCAGCCCAGCGGGGAGCCTGCCTTCCAGCCCAGTGGGGAGCCTGCCTTCCAGCCTAGCCAGGAGCCTGCCGACCACCAGCCCAGCTGGGAGCCTGCGGTCCAGCCCAACTAGGAGCCTGCGGTCCAGCCTACCTGGGAGCCTGCCTTCCAGCCCAGTGGGGAGCCCACCTTCCAGCCTAGCCAGGAGCCTCCCGACCACCAACCCAGCTGGGAGCCTGCGGTCCAGCCCAACTGGGAGCCTGCGGTCCAGCCCAGGTGGGAGCCTGCCTCCAGCCCAACGAGGAGCCTGCCTTCCAGCCTACCCGGGAGCCTGCCTTCCAGCCTACCCGGGAGCCTGCCTCCAGCCCGGTCAGAAGCCTTCCTCCTAGCGGGAAGCCCACCGTCCAGTCCAGCAGGAGGGAGCTCAAGCGTCCAGCCTGCCAGCCAAGCTGACCTGCCAACCAGGAAGAGTAACGGCCAACAATCAATGCGCTACTTAATTATGTGTTTAATTCCGTATTAATGTTGTAATTAATTTAATCATTATTATGTTCGGCAGTTACCATTTGTAATCGCCTATAAAAGGCAATTCGATTTTCAAATACAGATATGCTTTTTCTGGCTAACTTTTCATATTCGTACTTTCCTAATTCCTGCTTGAGTGTCGTACGTAGCTTTCCTAAAAGCCTACGAGCGTCCTATTTTGGACCAACATTGGTGCTTTCATTGAGAGCCTCTATTGTCTCTCACATAACTTGAGTAGGAATCACACAGGAAGATGGCTTGAATCTCGTCTCGACGTGACCATGTCTCAGTCCACACCGAGGAGTCCGCCCGGTCTGGCCGCCAGCGTGCCCTCGACAACCATGCACAGGGCAGGAGGGCGGCGCGCCAAGGCGACCTTCGGAACCAATTATCAGGCCACGGCGACCTAAGGGCGACGCTCAACCACACTCAAGGTGAGCGCTCGGTCCGCAGCCGGCGGGGGGAGGCCGACGTCATGCTCCGCGCATGGACCCGGCTCGACTCAATGCCGGGGTGGAAGCCCTGTAGGAGGCAACTCGGGTTCTTGGGACCTTGGCTCAAAATTTCCAACAGATGGTGTCTGGCGGAAATGTGGATGAGCCTGCCCGTCAACAGACGCCAGCGGATGTGGAGGTGTCCTCCAGGCGGCGTGATGAGCGACGCTCTGGATCCAACCAAAACAGAGGGGAAGAAGTCTCCCATCGGCGGGGGGAAGAAGTCTCTCAGCAGCCTAGCCGACCCCATCGGCAGACGGGGAGGGGTGCCCAGCAGGGGCGCCCAACGCAGATGGAAGGAGGCGAGCCCTCTCGCCACTCTCACCGGGCGAGCAGTCGGACTGGCTCCACGGAGAGGCAAAACGTGGGGCCCCGACCTCACGTGCACGGACGACTTGGAGGTGCCGCCGGACATGCCCAGCCCCGCGCTGGAGCTGTCCGGGGGAACCCACCGCCGACCGAGGTGGAAGATCTACGACAGCGCCTTGACGAGTTGAGAAGGAGGGTTGTCGGGGGGGAGCCTTACACGGCCGACCTCCGGATACCCGAACCCTTCACCCGGGCGGTCATGGATGCGCCGTTGCCGAGGGGCTACAAGCCTTGCGCCATTGAAGCATACAAGGGCGCTTCGGACCCCCAACATCATGTATCTCGGTACCTTTCCTACATGGTCATGATGGGGTACGAGGACGCAATCCGATGCCGCGGTTTCTCCGCCACTTTGGATGGCCCGGCTCGTGAATGGTATGACTCTCTACCCGACGGGAGTATCACAAATTTCCGTGAGTTGGCTCAGCGCTTTCTCTTGAGGTTCGCGAGCTCCCGAGACGTCAAGAAAAACTTCAGCCACCTGTTCGGCCTAAAACAGGGGAAGAAGGAATCATTGTCGACCTTCCTAGCGAGGTGGAGGGCCGAGTCAGTCAAGGTTCAGGGCCTTGATGACAGGACCGGGGTGGCCATGCTCACAAACTCTATCCGATCGGGCGAGCTTTACAAAGATTTCGTCAGAAGTCCCCCTACCTCGTACGAGGAGGCGCTCGGCCGTGCCGACCGGCAAGCCGAGGCGGAGGACGCCTTGCAGAGGAAAAGAGATGAGGAAGAAGGTGCCAAAGAAGAAAAGAAGAAGGAAGCCGGTTCGGGTGCTGAGAAAGCTGACGGCAAAGCTAGCAACAAAAACAACAAATACAAAGGTAACAAAAGTAGAGGCAAGGGCAAGGCGGACGTCCCGAGCGGACCGCTACAGCCCGTCAAGCAATTGACTCCACTTGCTCAGCCGGTCGGGGCCATCCTCGACTACGCGGAGGAGCAAGGTTTAGTCGACTTTCCTGAGGAGTGTGATGTGGTGACTGCCAAGCGCAACCACGACCAATATTGTCGATTCCATCGGAGAGCAGGGCATGATACAGATGATTGCGTCATTCTCCGGCGGCAAATTGAAGAACTCATCCAGAAAGGGTACCTGGGCCAATTCGTTGGCAAACAAGGAGGCATCCCGCAGAAGAGGAGCCTGACGTGGCAGCGGTCCGACCAAGCTACCACGTCAAAGGAGACACCCCCTGCCAAGAAGCGGGAGCTCGGCGCCTTCTCCGAGGAAGACGATGCCGACCTAGGGAACGGCCCCCGGAAGTACCATCGATGTTCATTCATATTCGGGGGACCCCAGGGAGGCGACACCTCTGGAGAGCGGAAGCAGTGGGCCCGAGCCCTATACGTCGGGGAGATAACCAGGGCTCCCGCTGACAAGAGGGTGAAGAGGGACCCCATCTTCTTCACCGACGCAGATTTGCCACCGATGCCTCCGCCGCACAGGGATGCCTTGGTCATCAAGGTCGAAATCAACAACACGATCGTCCACCGAGTCCTGGTGGGCAATGGGAGCTCCGTTAACATCATGTACTATGACACCTTCCAAGGTCTCGGGCTGGACCGAAAAGACTTGATCCCGGTGAGAACCCCACTCTCAGGCTTCACATGGGACTCCATTGAGTCGGAGGGCAGCATAGTCCTCCCTGTGATGGTGGGCTCCGAGCCCTGTGTATCCAAGTTAGACGTCGAGTTTATCGTCGTACGCCTAACTTGTGCGCATAAGATCATCATGGGAAGGCCGGCCCTGGAAGACCTCAGATGTGTGATATCCCAGGAGCACCTATGCATGAAGTTTCCCACTCCGGATGGCGTCGGAGTCGCCAGGGGAGATCAGCGAATGGCGAGGAGCTGCTATCTGAAAGCTTGCAAACAAATCGGTCAAAAAGACTTGAGGATCCACACTATCAACAGCAAAGCCATGAAGTATGAGGAGGGTCAGCTCCGCACTGAACCCACCTCAGACGTGGAGGAGATCCAGATTGACCCTGAGAGGCCGGAGCGGAAGGTCAAGATCGGGACCGGGCTCCCGGTCCGCTTGAGGGAGAAGATTATCCAGGTACTTGTCCTTTTTAGCGTTGTCTTCGCGTGGGGACCGGAGGACATGCCTGGACTTGACCGAAGCATCGCTGTCCATCGGCTGGCGGTTAATCCAACGGCGAAGCCCATCCAGCAGAAAAGAAGACACCTCTCAACCGAGAGGAGGGAATTCGTGAAGAAGGAGGTCAACATGCTCCTGAGTATCAAGCATATCCGGGAGGTCTTGTACCCGGTTTGGCTGGCAAACGTGGTCCTGGCCCCGAAGCCGCCAACCTGGAGGATGTGTGTTGATTACACCGATCTCAACA